TCCTGTATTTACAATCCTGTTTGCAGCCAAAACAATATCGTCGATGTGACGCCAAGTCTGGAAAAAGTGAATCGGAACTGCGCGAGCTCCAAAGAAGTCGAGGAAACGCAGAGTGGTTCCGCTAGTTACCCGAATCGTCTAGCAGCTGGTGGTTCCACCACCTGTGCCGCTGAAGAAGGACGAGCAGTTGCTGCCAAGGAACAGAAAAAACAGGAATTCAAAAAGAAGCAGGATTCGGGACCGGGTTCTATGCAAACCGAGCAAATTAGCGACTTGTCGAGCTATAATTATTCATGCAATTCGGAAGCTCCAGCAATTCCAGCTCGCCGAAGCCGTTTCAGCACGAAAATGCTTGCGAAACCAGGGCACTGGAAATGTGGAGAGTCTCAAACAAGCAAACATCCCGCAATACTTCCTGAATTCGGCAACACTGCTGCACCAGAACAGCTATGCGTCAAGCGACATTTAAATGAAGTGTGGAAAATTGTGCGAAATGTGAATGAGTTTGACAATCTTGTTGCACCGCTCGCTGCTGCTCATCTTTCAGCGAAGTCGGATGAAGCAGGACCACAGCAGCGGCAGAAAGGAGGAAGACACGTACGACTGAAAGACGAGCCAGTGGTCCCGAAGAATCGCCAGAAGACCGAAGCAGCGAGATACCATTGAACATCTTCCCGACTTGCACATTAGCTATGCCAGAAAACGCGCATAAAGAAGACGTTCGCCTCACTTGATACGCACTGCACTCACAGCATGCACTGCCCGGACCCGCACTGACGTCCCCTTGCGACTTCGCTCAGTCGAGCATCGAAGCTTGCCCTGCAGTTACGGTGGGAAGGAGGGCGAGAACGAGCACTGCAGCTAAATACACCTTCACCATCTCCTCAGTCCTCGACTTTCTCGCTTCTCTTGACAACCATTAAAACTCAGCTCGACTTGGCAGCTACTAATAATTTGGCTTGTTCCGGTTGTTATTGTACGAATCGCGAGGACTGCCGCAGATGGTTTGAAAGATTGTCCCGGGCTGCAGGAACGTGCATTTAGTGGGATGATAACGAGGGGAGGAGCAGTACAGTAAGGGTTTCAATCGCGGAAGTTCGAGGGAAGGGGAGGGGCTGGGACAGCTAACTATGGAAACCTGATCCGACCGCGCAATATACATTCGTTTGTGGGTTTAGTGGCTAGGTAAAATAGACTTGGGGCGGGGGAAGGAGAGGGGAGGGGAGGGGGATGCAAGGGAAGAGTAGGGGAGTGATGAGCAGAAAAGAGAAATGTGTTGTTGCTTTGTGCCCCGGAGACTTGTGGTAAAAGAGGAGCTAGGATACAGTTAACTGGAGAATGCAATAGTGAAAATTCCAGGAATAATAACAGTTGCTGAGGCGATCTTTCGTCGCTTCTTCAATTATCAACTGAGGCTGGAACGCACCGGGCGGGCCCGTGCGGTCATGCGTTTTGCACTGAACTTGAAGTACTCAGGTCATTAAGTGCATGAATGGTTGTTGCTTTATACCTACCTTTTGGGATTACAAGCACAAATCATCATAAATTTTTCTTAAAGTGAATGTACAGTTTCCATTTGACGGTCTTCCTTTAAAAGCAACCTAGTTGGTCAGTGAGAAATTTTTCCGCCAAAACTTTTAAGTGCCCGTAAGTAAAAATCATGCGAACTTCAAGACTGATTTGAAATACTTAAATTGTACTTGGTTGGGGAACATTCCTCTAAAATTTCGGCTTTCTATCTTTTTTGGTCCCCGAGTTAGTAATTTTTCCGCAGAAACCTTCATACACCCCTACGTGAGTACCACGCATAGCTTGGGGTTGAACTTGAAATATTTGAATTGTACTTGGATAGGGAACATTCTCCCAAAATCTCAACTTTCTAGCTTTCCTGGTTCCCGAGTTAGCAATTTTCCCCCTAAAACTTTCATACGCCCTTACGTG